TAAATGTTTGCATGCATGCCTTGTTACCACTGAGGATTCAGATGGAGTTCCCCGATACCATTAAAAATGGTCCATCCAGTTCTTTACACTTACCTTACAAAATACGGCAACAAAATGCTGCAATTTTACTTTAGTATATTCTTTGAGAGCGGGGTCTTTCCCCGGTCGAGCCTAAACGTGCATACTGCAGCTATACTATGCAGTGTGGCTCTATCATGTTATGTTATGTTATGTTAGATACTTTTAATAGACTTTTTATAATTTTAAACTGTACTCTGAATAACAGACGTGAGAGTTAACAATAATAATTCTTTTAATTTTTCATATTCAGTTTCATTACAGACCTACAGTCATATAAGCTGTTAATAATACATTGAATTTCTGTTGAGTGTAATTGAGTTAATGTTATGTTATGTTATGTTATTGTTCAGTACAATTTACTGAATTACTTTCAGTTTTTGGCATTAACCTCCTCGAGTTAATTAAAAAACTATATATTTAAAAACTATAAACTGAAATTTTAAATGAGAACAAGTAACTTAACAAACTTAATAGTGATTTATAAATCCGCACAAATATAATTCTTAATGAGATTTTATTAAATTATTTAATTCATTCAATATTACAGCAAATTCAATTGCGAATATGGTAAACACATGTAAGCGTACGCGTACTCGTATGCAGCCACACTCACGTCACATTATGTCACTGTTTGTAACATATGCTAGCCACATCTAATTGTTGTTTGAGATTTTCAATAATTGTATTTGTCAGACCGAACGCAAATATTTAATATGTTGAACCTATTTCTTTAAATTGCATTGTGTTATCTACATGGCAACGTGCTCTGCTCTTATTATTAAAATTATTTACCAATACCGATTGACTTTAAAATTTGCAATTGTATCAAGGGCCGACGGCAATACAATAATGTAATAACTTTATCCTAGTATTCTGATCAGGATTATCAGGATAAAACAAAATAATTATCAGGATCATCACATCAGGGTGATCATGAATCAATGCGTGTTGTTTAAAATTTTAAATTCTTATATTATTACAATTCTTTTTTTAATTATTGTAAAATTTGAGATAATTGGTTTATATTTTCGTCCAATCCAAGAATTTAAGAAATTAGTTGTTTTCAACAATAAACTATTAAAAATTTCTTTATTCAAATTTTGGAACTACCAAAGTTCTTAAACTAATCTAAAAACTATCAAAGTTCTTTGTAGTTTTTTTTAAATCTGAATAAATGTAAGTGTTGTGAAACAAATAAAATGCGCTCTGTAAAACGTAAAGCTCAATATTATTTTGTATTTATACAAGGTTACTGGGAATCGACAACTTCCTGGAAGGGCGTGATAGGGGAGTCAAAATGCTACAAATTTGACCTCCCATATGTAAAGGCGAAAATAAACATATCTTGAGATATACGGATTTTAAAGATTTTTCAATAATCACCCAGAATTTGGTATTAAATTCTAAATATAAATAAAACTTTTTTTGTATGCATTTTTTTAAGTTTATTTATTTTCTTGAAGCTATTCACAATAAAAAGTTATGGGTTTTAATAAAGTATTATTTTTACGTACTTCAAAAAATTACTATGACATAAGACAAAAATATTTTTAAAACATGCCCATGTAATCAGCATCCAAAAAGGTAATAATATCCCGGTGAAGACATTTATTTATAACGTACCGTCAATTAATCTAATGTGGGTCATTTCTAAACTTAAACAATATTTTTTACTAAGTTTCTTAAAGATTAAACATACAAACCGCAAATCCGAGCCATATTGAGCAAGATGTTTGCGGTTTCCTTGGTTGCGGATACACGTCCTGATTCTTTTCCTAACTTCGGTTTTCGTTATTTTTGAAGATATTGTATCCCTAATCGGCTCTGCCGTATTCAAGATACGTCTTCGGTGTTCTTCAAAAGAAATCACTAGGGTCACGTAGACTAAGTCCTTCGTGTGACCCCAAACGTAGAAGTCTAGTGGCGTCAGATCAGGACTCCGTGCAGGCCACGGAATTGGCTCTTCCCTCCCAATCCACCTGTTTGGGTATTGGCTATTTAGCCACACTCGTACAGATAACCGGAAGTGAGCTAGACAGCCGTTATGCTGATAAATCAAATTACTTTTAATTTCTTCTGGAACATCTACTAATAAGTTTTATAAATCATTTCGCAAAAAATTTTCGTTATTTTCCCCATTTAAATTTTGTGGCATAAAATAAGGCTCAATAAGTTTGTCATTTACAATACCCACCCACACATTCAAAGAAAATTGATAGCAGTTTGTAATACTATCTCGGTCCAATTTGGACTCATCCGTCCATAGAATATTTCTTAAAAAAATTTCTTCGTCTGCGTCGGCGTCCAGCATGAAACGATAAAACTGGCATCTACTCGCTGGATCGCTCTCGTACAACGTTTGTACAGGTTCTCTGCTAACTAACGAGCGTCGCTACGACTAAATTTAAAATGACCGTCTGCTTTCTGAATAGTTGTCAACAACCAATCAGACGCCAAGTGACTAAAAGTGTGCAAGTTCGTTCATAAGAGTTCGAAGTTCCTTATCGGACGAATAAAACGGTATTTTATTCGTTCCTTATCGGACGGTACGGGTTTGGCGGATAGGAGCTAGGCGACAAAAAGTGTAAGATTTTTTTGTCACAACCCCTTGTGTCGTAGTGTATTTTATTATAAATGACGCTTCATTTTAATAGAGGCTAGTAATACATTTATTTGTATTTGTTAATCAATAATATAATACGTTTATCAATAATAAGGAGCTTCGTTCCGACCGAGTGTTCCAAGACACTCACGCATGTTTTTTATTATTCATTGACTTCATAGGGATATATCTAGGGATCTATCTAGGGATACATATACTCATACCTTTTTGGATAGCTGTTTCAATGGGCATGTTTTTTAAAATATTTTTATGTCTCATGTCATAATAATTTTTTGAAGTACATAACATTTTATGATACATAAAGTGTAAAAAAAAGATAAATAATAATATATTAAGACCCATAATTTTTTATTGTCAATACTTTTTGTACATTTTATGATTGTATTCTCTTGGTTGAAGCTTCAATAAAATAAATAAACTTAAAAGAAATCATACAAAAAAGTTTTTATTTTTATTTAGAACTAGCTGTTCCCCGCGACTTCGCCCGCGAGTTATTTGGGGTTTTAATTTTTTTTTGCGCGGAACCCTAATTTTTTTTCTAAAATAAAAGTAGGCTAAGTTACTCCTTGTATCATCAGCTATCTGCCAGTGAAAATCCCGTCAAAATCGGTCCAGCCGTTTCGGAGATTAGCCGGAACAAACAGACAGACAGACAAACAGACAAAAACTTTAAAAATTGTATTTTTGTTATTAGTACCGTAAATACTTTGATATGCATTTAGTAAAAAACTGTAATTTTGACATTACAAACAGACACTTCAATTTTATTTATTTGTACAGATTTAATACGAAATTCTGGGTGATTATTGAAAAATCTTTAAAATCCGTATAACTCAAGACCTGTTCATTTTCGGCCATACATATGGGGGGTCAAATTTGTAGCATTTTGATTCCCCTATCACGCCATACCAGGATGTTGTCGAGTTCACAGTAACCCTGTATAAATATTAACCTAGGTGGGTACCAGCAAGTTAAACAATATTGCTATTTTATCAGACGTTAAACAATATTGCTATTGTGTCTCGTTTAATATGTTGAAGCTCTCGTTCGACTGTGCTTAAAGTAAACTATTTCCAAATCACTCACTTGAGTATAGTCAAAATTTATAGAAGTTTATTCAGAAAAAATATAAGTTTAAAAGGGACTTACACTTTAGGAATATCACTCGATAACTTGGTTATTATTTTATTAATATTTTAAAAACGACCTTGTCCAACATAACTGAAAATTTATTATTGTTATACATATTAGTTTGCTGTAACTGTACTTTCATTTTCTGGCGGCGCACAGCGACGTCATTTGACAGGTCAACACACGTGGGTCGTAACGTCTTTTGGACGTAATCGATGGTACGTAGTTGCGTGGATATAAGTAACTAGTTTCAAAACTGCTTATTTTTGTAACTGGTTACTTCTGTATACAGTATAGCGTTGGTTAATTTTGCGTTTGTAATAAGTTATGATTACGAAAATATTTACAGATTATAGGTATTATAATATTAATTTTACTTTGGTGTTATATTATGATTATGAATTTACGGTCTTAATTCAGTATTATGCAGAATGTTTAGACTGTGTATATATCTAGGCCATCTGATTTAGATATTTTCTATGACAATTTAAATAATTTCAGAAGAAAAATGTTACTTTATTTGGAATCTATGTATTAGATGATAAATGTAGTAAACCCTTTTTAATTTCTCATAAATACGCAATTTTGCTAACTGTACTATTAAATTTTACGATAATTAACTTTTCGCAACATTACTCTGTGTTAGCTGTGGTTGCCTATAACTGGGTGAGTATATTACATGTTTCTCACAATGCTTGGATCTTGTTTTTAGTAATTGTGTATCATCAGTCCGTGACCCTTATAAATAAATAAATAAATATGTAACTGCCGGCCAAAAGTTTAAGACCACACTTAAACAACATAATTATCTATAAATTGTAACGAAATCCCATAAGGTAAATAAAAGAAATATACACCTGCATATTCTATTGTTAATATCGAGTATCTAAAGAAGTCATGCTTTTATTTAAGTTATTGGACAATAAACATGTATTGTTTTCAAACACCGACAAACGCTGCGTTGGAGGCAGGTGGTAGAGTAGTAATATTATTTTTATGATGAGCTAATAACTAATTGCATTGCTTTTGTTTCCCATTGGTCAATAATTAGGATTATTTAGCTTCTAAAAACACGTGTTTCCGACTTATACCTGAGTTTACATGGTTTTGTTCACAAATATCAATTAGTCTAAACTTGTGGTTTCTACAGTGAAGACGTCTTAGAATGGGAAAAGCACGAGAAATTAGCAGTGAAGTGAGTTCTGCCAACATTGTTTTACATAATGAAAGAAAATCTGAACGTGAGATTGCTTTACAATTGAAGTTATCAAAGACTTGTGTTCATGGCACAATAGCTCGATACAGGGAGACGGGCACTTTCAATATCGTCCACGCTCGTGAAGGCCGAGAGCTACCAAGTCAAGTGAAGATCATTTCATTGTTGTTACCAGCAAGCGAAATAGACTCTTAACAGCACCGGAAATCCACGTTGAAGTAAACAAAACCCCATTTAAACCTTTATCAATGACTGCAGTAAAACGGCGACTGAGAGATGCGAAATTGTATGGTCATGTCGCCGTTCGAAAACCTCTGCTAAGGCCACAAAACAAGAAAAAATGGATGCAATGGGCCCTTGTCCATCGAAATTGGACTAAAGAAGATTTAAAAAAAGTTCTTTTGACCGATGAATCCAAGTTTGAGCTATTCTGTTCAAAACGAAGAATTTACGTTCGAAGCAGTGACCAAGAAAAGATCTTGCCAGACTGTGTAGTTCTAACAATCAAGCATGGTGGTGGCTCAATTATGGTCTGGGGTTGCCTTTTGCCTAGCCAAGGAACTGGCGATTTGATCAAAATTGACGGAATTATGAAAAGGGAAGGGTACAAAAAATTTTTAGTGCAAAATGCCGTTCCTTCGGAGTTACGATTAATTGGAGATGGATTCATTTTCCAACAGAATAATCATCCTAAGCATAGCTCAAAATTATGCAGAGGATATTTGGAAGAGAAAGAGGCACAAGGGATGTTAAAAACATGGTTTAGCCTCCTCAGAGCGCGGATCTCAACCCCAATGAACTTTTGTGGGAAGAGCTTGATAGGAACGTCCGTAATTGTGATCCATCCTCGCGAGAATAAATGTGGAATGCTTTGTGCGAAAGTTGGAGCAATATATCACAAGACACTATCAAGAAATTGATTGTCCGTATGCTGAGACTTGCGAAAAAAGTCATAGAATGCAAAGGAGAATTTTTTGATGAAAAATCAATTTAGCTAACTATAGCCTTTTTTAGCATGGACTGTTAATATTTCTTTACTCTTTTCAAGTATATTAATTGCCAAAAAGTGTTTTATTGGATGATTTAACAGTTTAACTAAATATTTAACATCTTATTAGAGTTTTATTTAATTTTCCTACTTTAATTAAGTTGGTCTTAAACTTTTGGCCTGCAGTGTAATAATAGGTGTTATAATATGTATGCTATGCGTGTAATTTGAGTATAAAGGTAATTTTGTCAATTAAACTTCCCTTCATACATTTCCAGGTTTAGGACTGGCTGCAAAATTTCATTTTTAATGTTATTTTTATGAATTTTTCTAAAACAGAATGCAGGCGTATTTAGAAGTTCATTTGATTTTATGTACAGTTTTTTTTCTATTTAAAGTATACGCGTGTTTTGCAGTTTGATTAAAATATTTACACTTTAAATCGGTTTGGATCCAAATTTACATTTAAATAAGTTAGTTGGGCCACTTTATTTGTGTACAGACGGGTGCGACGTTCATTGATTGTAAGACATTTTTTACTAAATATTCGCTCACATGGAACGGAGGTAGCGACTATGTTCCCGTATCTTCGTAGCAAAGCCGCTAGGTTGGGATAAATATGACAGTTAGAGCGCCTCCATTCCAACGGAGAATTAAATTTCTTTCATTCAAGACATCAAAGACTGCTAAAATGTCGTCTTTTATGTAAGGGTCCACTTCCCTTATTGCACGTGATAAGGCAGCCTCGTACCGGTAGGCGAAGTGTAGGGCGACCCCCCACTAGATGGAGTGACTACCTGGTAAGACATGCAGGAAGTCGATGGATGCAGGTGGCTCAGGACCGTGCTTTGTGGCATTCTTTGGGGGAGGCCTATGTTCAGCAGTGGACTTATGAAAGGCTGTAATGATGATGATGATGAAAATTTGTCCTTGGAGACGGGTTCTGTTGCAGGAGACACCGAAAGCTGGTCAGTATAATACCGCTTATTAATAATAGCTGCAACCATTTCTTTAATTTTTTTTTGTTTTAGCAGCTTCTTGTAGATCCGAAAAAACATTCATTTTATAACGGGGGTCCAGGAATGTGCAAATTGTAAACGTACCGCTTCTCTCTACCCCTTCGAAGCGCGTTTTTAAGCCAGAGTGAAGTACAGAAATCACTGATTTTGTAATCTCTGAAAAACTTTCTCCCATGACCTGGTCACAAGATCCTGTTAAATACCTGGTCATAACTATTATTGTGCTGGCCGTAATATAATTTTCTCCACTCATCGCTTTAGTGGCTTCATCGAAGGGTTTTAGCACTCTTCTAACATTGTCCACTCCTCGTTTGAAATAATGGGAAGAGCTTTTTTCAAAACGGCGATTGTGGCACGGATGTAGCTTTCGAGCTCCACAAATCTCTCCAGCATGTGAAATGTCGAATTCCATCTTGTTGGAACATTTTGAATTAAACGCTTCGGTATTGAATCAGGATTTTCTTGAGTTTGTGCCTTCAATAACGTTTCTAAGGCACTGGTGCTAGATTTAAAATGGCGAACTATGCATTTCACCTTATCGAGCTTGTCTTGTATTTTTCGTAGACTGTCTTGAACGATAAGATTAAGCGTATGTCTATCTAATGTTTCCAGCCCAAATCTGATACTGCGTTTTTCACATTTGCTGCATTGCGCTAATAACAAAATTAACTTTGTTAATTTCCACTCTTCAATGGTCTCCAGTAGTGCATTATGTATACTCGCACTAGAATGTAGGCCTTGGAATGCTGCATATTTTAATAAAATAAGTTTCATTTCCAATTTTTCTGTTATATAATGGCTGGTTATAGCAATATAGCCGTCATTAACTTGGGATTTCCAGAGATCCGTAGATCAAACATATGTTCTCGATATCCGTGATTTCTTTTTTATTTATTTATAACGTTTTTTCGTTCGTATAGGTTTGGTATTAAAATGTTAGAAACCGTTTTCTTGACGGCAGTTCTTATTCCGGTATCTTCAACTAACGAGAACGGTTGGTAGCTGTCTATAAATAGATCTCATAGATCGCTATCTAGTTTTCTTTTGTTTTCAAAGGAAACTCTTTGATAGGACGGTGGCTTGTCGACACCGTGGCAGAGGGTTCAGGCACTGATGAAGATGACTGCTCGGCAAGAACACCTCTATTAAATGGTAACTGCACTGAGTCAGTATTCGACACCGGGACAGTACCACGAGAATTCAACTGAGCTATTAAGAGGTCATTTGTTTGGCGCTCACTTCCATTTAAATGGTCGAGTAGCACTGACCTCTATATATCCATTTACGCTGGACCAGCTATACCCTACAAAATGTTTGCGCTGATTTGAAGCGCTGCAATTGTTAAGAACAGTGTTCAGAAAAGTATGTTGTGTTGTTTAAATCGTATCTCTGTATTTTAAACGAAAAAATTCAAGTATTTTGTGTATAGTTTAAATATGTTTGATTTTAGTTATATAATAAGAATTATTTTCAGTAATAATGAGAGTGCGTAAGTTGCAAAACTTGTCACCAAAATAAAAGCGGGATAACATTCCACAAGTAAGTGATTTTTTTCTCTTTTTTTTTGGATCACCAACACATGATACACAATACTGACAAAAGTGTAACTCAACACTGCGACTACATGTTACGTTTTCGTCTTTTTACAGGTAATCACAACTTACATAAATAACGAACTGATTTAAAAGAAAAAGAAAAAATGAAACAGATAGTAACATGGTAATAAGCATACATGAATGAATACAATACACGAATTTACAGATTATTTGATAATTTATGTACCTAAAACTTCGTTATTAATCATGATATCGTAATTACCAATATATTTGGCTTTATATTACTGAGTTTTGATAAACAATAAAATTCAATAGGCTTGTAGAGTTCTTTGTCTATAATACTTATCGAGATTCTTTTCTACCCATATCTGTTAACAACCAAAGTCGCCAATAACAGAAAACACAAATGTTACTGTTGTTATTGATTCACAAACTTCTGAGTAATAGTACCCAGTATTGGCTACTCCAAGTTTGTGTTGGAAAACACAAACAAAGTTATCTGAGAGTAAGACCAAAGAGAAAAATTTTTCGAGGGTTAGTTACTCTGGCGTTACTATGTTTTTATTACATGGTTATTTAACCGTATTCTTTAATGTAATATCCCGGTTGTTATCGCGGTTCTTTGAACGATGTCATCTGAAGAGCTTATGTGTCTATAAATATTCTCTTGGTTTTAGAGCTTTGTAGAATATTTGGAGACGATGGCAGAAGGTCCGATCGTATGACTTTGGATGCTTCGAAGAGAGATAAAGCTTTAGTGTGGAATACTACTTGCGAAGATACTTTCTCAGCCTCTCTTCTCACGGGTACCTCGTTTAAAGCAGGGGTGGCATCTCTCTGACAGATGAGTTCATATTTGTGCCATTTGCTGGAGAGTCTATCGGTCCGTGGGATTCATGTACGGTGAAGTTGCTAAAAAACTATCCGCGATGCTGGAGATAAGAGAGCTTAGTAATAATAATAATAATAATAATAATAAATAAATAACCTTTATTTGCGTAAAACATGGTATGGGTGTTGTTTACAAGTAAAAATATAGCATGCAAATATTTTTAAACAATGTCAAATTTTCTTTAACTATTTGAAGTACATTAGTCACCTGATTTAGTTAACAAAGAGAAATAATATTATAATAATTAATTACATGTCAATTTCAATACCTAGTAATAGTCGCATAGCTTAATCAAAGATATATTGTACAATATTATATCTTATTATTTTATATTTATTACAATAATTAAATGATTTTTTTTAATAAATGTTATCCAGTACATAATCTAATTTTTTTCCAAGAATTGTTTTACACTATAGAAATTATTTTCATACAGCCATTGGTACAATTTCTTTTTGAACAATGCAATATTTAGGGTTTTAAGTTCATCAAGGAGATTGTTATATAGGTATATTCGGACATACATGGTAAGGCATCTTTTGCCATATTTTTGTGATTTAGGTATATCCTTGAGTACTAGCTTGTGTGGGTCCCTACGTGAGCGAGTAGTCTGTACCTCACAAGCTTTTTCAAATAATTGCTTGTGTCTCTGCACAAAAACACAAACTTCTAAAATATATATCGTTGGTAGTGGCAGTATTCCAAGACCTTTAAATAGAGGCTGACACGATTCATCAGGT